CTGAACTGCGGGGTTTTTTGATCCTTCCATTGATGTTAAGAGTCCATGAGGATTCCCCGGTGTGCCTGTGCCTCGGGACCAGCACTTGCCATTCCAAAATATTCGTTAGGCAGCGAACGCTGCTATGAACTGTGGGGTTTTTTGATCCTTCCATTGATGTTAAGAGTCCATGAGGATTCCCCGGTGTGCCTGTGCCTCGGGACCAGCACTTGCCATTCCAAAATATTCGTTAGGCAGCGAACGCTGCTAATGAAGGGTTAATAGGGGAAGGCCCGTACGGCGTCGGGTTAACATCTGCTCAGTGCATCGCCGCTCATAGGCTAAGCTGTTTTGCTTCTCTTTGGGAAGAACCTTTGGCTGGCGGTGATTTCATTACGCACAGTGAAAATAAAAGCTATTTTATTCTGGAAACCAGAGGTTGGAAGGAGCTACCGATGTTTTTATTTACATCCTGACATTACGTTTTAAGATGGAGAGCTCTTGCCCAGTTTAACTAAAAACAATGCAAGCAATAAAGCGTTCGTAGCCTCAGATGTCGCGCTGTTAAACAACCTGATAGGTTTTGCTAAATCACATTCTCCTCTATCACGTCAGGGAAATCTGGAGTAACTCCCTGTCACTCAGGTCTAGCACAGGCCATACAATAGTTATTTCTCTTTGTAGTTCTGAAAATGCACTTGCAGACATAGACATTTCAGGCACCCCGCATTGCCCTGCTGTGCTGCTAGCGCTGCGTGGTGGGAACGTCGGCTCTGGGCCGAGAGCTGTCTGGGCTCAGGCATTGTCCTCTCCGTGGCCACGTGGCGTGCCGTGTCAGGCTCGTGTCACCGCAAATGCTAGGGGAAGCTCCTTCTTCTCCTCAGTGTGGGATCCGCTCTCTTAGCTGTCTTTGCCAGGACTTACATTGTTCTTGAGTCCTGAGCATTCTTAAAAAGCCAGAGAAAATGGGGAAACTGTTAATTGTTTAGAAAGAATGGCTTTTTGGCAAGGCGAAGAGGCACATATTGCTGAACTGTGGTGGAAGGTCTGAAGGTTGTCCTTGAACAATAAAACAAGCAAAAGAGAGAACTTGCTTAAAGTTTTTCAGCTTAGCATAAACCAAAATAATGGGATAAAGTCAAACAGAGAGAAGTAGGAACATTCTCTGCACAGGGAGGAAGATCCTTTTTGTAATTTATCCTAGGAGATGATTTAAAGCCTGTTAAATATTTAGGCTCGGCTTTTGAAGAGAAGAAAAGGAAGTTACTTTTGCTGTCACTGTCCATAGTGCACAGCTGCTTCGGCATGTGGAGTCAAAAATCACCCCCTTTTAAAAGCCCACTGCTGGTCTGCAACCTCAGAGCTAATCTCTACCTGTCAGC